AGAAGGGGCATTGACCTGCCCAAAGCTACTTCAAATGTCAGAGTGGAGAGGAGACCAGAACTACGGACACTGAAGTTCAACGTCCTCTGCTCCCCCACGGCCAATGGGCACCATAGTTAAGGAAGTCAGCAGCCCACTCAAGGACCACCTTCCATGGAGTGGAAGAAAATGGCACAGAACATGGCACTCCACCCACCCACGGCAGAGAATGCTGCCCACGGGTCTCCACACAGGTCAGGGAGGGGCTCTGTGACCTCCTGACTGGCCTCTAACCTAAAGATCCCACGCTCCTGTCATGAGGGATGCCCTTTGCACAGAACCTGCCATTACTTCTGCTTCCAGGCAGTAGATCCCTCCAGGACAGCCATGTCCCCTCCTGCGCCCAGTCACCCTGCAAAGGTCTCCTCTGCTGGGTGGCTAGGGCCAGAGGACAGAAGAAAGCTTGGTTCCTGAGGGGACTCCCCACACATAAAGGGCAGGCTTCTTTAGGCAGGCAAGGGTGCAGGCGCAATGCACCCCAGAGCTTTGCCTGAATGATGAAATGGTTAGAGAGTCCAGAGTGAGGGAAGAAACTTAAAAAAAAAAAAATTAAAAATTTTTAGTTGTAGACAGATACAATACGTTCATTTTATTTATTTATGTGGTTATGAGGATCAAATCCAGTGTCCCATGCCTGTGAGGCAAGTGCTCTACCACTGAGCCATAACCCCAGCCCAAAACTTTTTTTTAATACTGAGGATCAAACCCAGGAGCACTTTAAAGCCTTTTTATTTTTTTATTTTGAGACAAGATCTTGCTAAGTTGCTTGGGCCCTCACTAAATTGCTGAGGCTGGCTTCTAGCTTGTGATCCTCCTGCCTCAGCCTCCTAGGTTGATAGAGTTATGGGAATGAGCCACCGCACCCAGCGGGAAGAAACATTTTAAGAAGAGAATTCCTTCCTAATTTGGGGCCTGAGCCCTGGTGTCCACAGGGGTCCTGACTTCAGAAAAAAGAATACAGGCCAAAGGCACTGTAACTTCCAAGGATGGCCCAAGAACTCTGTGTGCCACCATCCCTCAATAATAATAGGAGTGTCAGGGACATTATCTCATTGGAAACCCTACAACCACATGAGGTAATACTATTATCATCCCCATTTTAACTAAGGAAACTGAAACTTGGTTGGCCCCTTGACTATCCCAAAGTTTCAGTTTCCTTAGTTAAAATGGGGATGATAATAAAACTTGGATGGTCAGATAATGCCTTACCTAGCCTAAGGCAACCAATTACTGAGTGGCAGAGTCGGGGTTTAAACCAACCCCAAACCAACCCCAAAGTCCTTATGCCGCCTCCACCCATGGTGGTCAGGAGACCTGTACGCAGCATATAATAATGAATGAACACGTCAAGTGCCATATTTGGGTCATCTTGTCTGCCTCCAGCCCTCTTTCTGCAGGGAAGACTTTAGTGGAGGCATTGGTGGGGAGGGGGGGAGCGCGCACGCGCACATACACACACACACACACACACACACACACACACACACACACACACACAAGAGTCCTAACAAAGAGGATCTCACCACTGTCCCTTCAAATATTTGGGCCAGTGTTCCCAGAGCACGGTATCCTGAATCACCAGCATCATCCAGGTTGTCGGGGAGCTTCAAGACCCCTATTAGTTGAGGGTGGACCTCACACTCTACTCCATCCCCTTCTCCTCTGCAGACAGAGCCGTGGAGACCTCAGGAGCAGATGGGCTCTCCTGAAGACAGGCTGGGCTCAGAGTGCCCCTGCTCTCCTTCTTCCCGATCTGCTGCTGTATGACAGGCCAGTTCCTGCCAGGCCTGGCCCCAACCCTGTAGTGATCCTGGGCCCCTGACAATCCCAAAGTTGTGTGTGTGTGTGTGAGTGTGTGTGTGTGTGTGTGTGTACATGCACTCCCACCCACGCATGCATGCACATGCAAATGCACACACATGTACATTGCATACAGCTGTGGGGGCTGGGACAACACTAGCCTTGGTCTGTCCCCACCCCCTGAGATGGGAAAGTGCTCATTCAGCAGTGGACAACTGGAGGGCAAAGGCGAAGGGTCCGGGACAAGGGAAGAAAGGGGTCATGGAAGGACAGGGCTGGAGAAAAGATATGTGACTTTTTCCCAAAGGGGTGAAGCTAATCAGGTGGGTCTGGATCGGGGCCAGCCACTTCCTCATGGACAACAGAGCAGAACAGGGACTGCAAATAATTAAGTACAAGGAGAGGGTCCTCTTGCCCCAGGAAAAGAAGGCCCTGCCAAAGGCACCTCGGAGAAGGAGGCTGGTGGTTCTGCGGCTACCTGTGCCCACCTGACGGACCCTGGAAACTAACACATACTACTAGTCCCTCCTGGAAGGTTCCCATCCAACTCCACCCTCATCCTCTTATCTAGAACCTTCCTCCCCAACCTTAAGGAGCGAGAAGGATTCTTTCTAACAGCTTGGCCTGATGGGGTTAGGAAAGCCAGCCTTGGTCTCTACTGCAGAGCCAGCCCCAGTGCCACCACTAGGAAATTCCCTTTCCCGGTAGCGACTACGACCACTCCTGTAGCTCTGCTGTAGGCACTGTGTGTTATTAGCATTTAATTCCTACAACAATCCTTCCTCTGATGAGTCCCCTCCGTGTGTGAAGAAAAGGCTGGGGGGTCGGGAGCTTGCTGGGGACTCTCCACCCCTCCCATCATAGGCAGGTCCCAGCCCACTCTGGAGTCCTCAGGGGAGGAAGGGTGGAAGGGTGCTGTGAATAATGAGGCTCCCTTTGTCCCGGGCCACACAGCTTGGGCAGTCAAACAGCTAATGTGGCCAGAGCTGGATTCCAGTGAGGTTTGCCCTCCCCTTCAGCTCCCAAGTTCAATTAGAGAAGGAAAGAAGGAATCAAAAGGAGGATAAGTCCTATATAGGTGACCCCAGAGAGGAGAGGCTGGGTGGGACAGGAGGCTGGGAATAGCTGAACCATGCTTTGCTCTGCAGCGGGAAGCCGGCTCCCAAGGCACAGGCAGGGCCGCATGCACCGAGGACTGAGGCCTGTCCAAAAGGTGGCCCCTCTCCTCTAGACCTCAGGGGAAGTCTCTCAGGAGATCCCAGCCTAGGAACCTACTTGCTGCCCACATCTGGTCCCCTCTCCTGCCAGCCACGGTGAAGCCTGGTTCTCCCTGGCATGGGACAAAGGGGAGCCCCATTACTTACAGCACCACCCCCAGCCTTCCTTCCCCTGAAGGACTCCAGAGTGACCTGGGACCTGCCTGTGCTGAGGCAGGGGTTTGAGGAGGGATGAAGTGGGCTGGATCCCATCTCCTCACCACCTTGGGAGAGTTTCTCTCAGTCTCAGTTTCCTGGCCTGTGAAATGGGAATAGTAGCACGTACATATTTCACAAAGTTGTTGGGACACACTGTTTGGCACTCAGTAGATGGTCAATAAATAGCAGTCACGAAGGCATTCAGAAATGGAATAGAACTTATCGATGTCCATCTGCTCTGAGTTTTCGAAGAAGATGGAGAGCTTCTTCTAGCCTCCTGCAGGGTACGTGCAGCCAGCAGGGAGAGTCCTAGGAACCRCATGGTCAGGGACACCCCCAGGTTATGGGGCAGCGGTGAAGTCAGTCATCCAGAATCTCCGGGAGGTAACAGGCAAAGAGCTTTGCTGTGACAAGGTGACCCTCTCTCTAAGATTCCTTCAGGATGCAAACCCAAGCCTCTTGCAATCTCCTGACCCCAGGCGACATTTTCCCAGGCTCCTTCCAAGGCAGAGTAAGGGGGATTTCCGGGGACATGCCTGTCAGTCAGGTTCCAGGTGTTCTCAAGGATTTTATTCCTTCAGGTCAGTGTCCAGGAATGGCTGTGTGCCCATGCCTGGGTGGGGGAGGCCTCACATGCCAAATCTCACAAGGTGCTGACAGGGAAGGGGCAAGTCTGTGGTGTCTGTGAGTCACAGGAATCAAGCCACAGGCCACAGATGGGGAAAGCCAGGGAAGGTTGCTCAGGCTGTGCTGGGGGTGGGGATGCAGGGAAGATAGCAGCACCCAGAGCCAAAGAGGTTCTGGGGACTGGGCTTCCCACTCCTCAGCTCCAAATCTCCCATCCCCACCGTCAGGAAGGTCTCAGAGAATTAAGAGGTCACTGGTGCCTAAGAGGGTGTTTACGCCACAGCACAGAAAATTGGTCACTGCCTCTTTGCCTAATTCCCACTGCAAGGCCTGCAGCGGCTCAGGGAACCTGCCCCCAGGTTGGGAAACAGATGCCTGCAGCCCATACCCCATTCGGATTTCAGACTCCTGATGGCCTTCCCCAAAGACAGCAGAATTCTCAAGCCACACCTCCTTAGCCCAACAGGCCACCCACCCTTTTTTCCCCATGGCTGCCTTAACCCTTTGTCCACTGCTGATGGGGCGGGGGTGTCACTGCCCCTCTGGACTTCCCAGGCGTCCAGAGAAGGAAGAGGCACATTCCCCAACGGCCCCTCTTTAACACGTACCCGCGACGCTGGACCTGCAAGGTTTCACGTGTCCTCCCACGTTCTCTCCAGGGCTCTGGACTCCCACCCCCTCCACCTCTCATGCTGCGGATCTGGAAAGTTCACCAGAGCCCAGAAAGCTCTTCAAGGCAGCGATCTGGCCCCACACTCTCGGGTCCTCTGGTCACCAGGGACTCCTGACCCTTGCCCTTCCCAGAGGAAGGGCGCTTAGAAAACGCCTAGCTCTCACGGGGTGGAAAACTTTGCTTTGCAGGGTTCCGACGGTAGCTCAGGGGCCAAAGCGAGTCCCAGATGGAGAGTCCCTGCGGGGCGCGGGTTCTGCGACTGCGAAATAGCCTTCCCTCCAGAGCACCTGGAACTTGGGAGTGGCCTTTCCAGGGCATCTCCCACCCCTCAACACACACACGCACGTCTCGTGATCGCCGATCTCCCCTCGCTGCTCCGGCACTGCCCTCCAACCCCTCGCCCCGGGGCGAAGCAGACCGGCGCCTTTAAGGGCCGCTCGGCTTACCTTTGCTCCTTTCCCCGGGCGCCGCGGTGCCCCCTCCTCCGACCTCCCGGCTCGCGCAGCTCGCGATCCGCTGGCCGCACTCACCGCACCTCCCGCGGGACGCGCCGCGCGTGTCCTGGGTCGCCGCGCGCCCGCCCGCCACGGCCGGGAGACTGCGGGGCTGGGCGCCGCGCCCTGCGCCCTGCGCCCTGCGCCCTGCTGGGGTCCCTGCCCCGGCGTGGGGCCGCTTCCCCTGCTCCCGAAAGGTGAGCGGCTCCCAGAGAAACTGCAACCTGAGCTGGAGGAGGAGGAGGAGGGSGAGGAGGAGGAGGAGGAGGAGGAGGAGGAAGAGGAGGAGGAGGAGGAGGGAGACGGGGAGGGCAAGGGAGGGGTAGAGGAAGGTAGGGGAGAGGAGGGAGGAGGGAGGAGGAGGGAGGAGGAGGAGGAGGAGGAAGGGAAAAGCCCGGCCCCCGCCAGAGTTTTTCTCGGTACAAGTTGACTCCTCCCCCTCCCTCCCGCCCTGCCCACAGCCGCTGCCAATCCCCAGGGCTCCCTTGGTCCGGGTGCCCACCCCTTTCTCCCACTCTGGGAACCAGGGTCCAATTGCCTCTTCCTGTTTCCTTCGTAGGGCTGTCCCTGAGAGCCTTGACTAGGGGCATGTGGCCCTCAAGATTGGATCACCCCAGGACAGGGGCCAGGGCACTATATGTGATTCCCCAAGAATGGCGATCTCTAAATGTAGCTATCCTACCCTCTGAGTCTGATTCTGGACCTAGCACTTAGCACCCTGATGTGCATATATAGGTTCTGTTCACCATTTTCAAGACAGCGGTCACCCTGGGACTCTATTCTGTCCAATGGGACTTGTCACTTACCTTCCATGTCAACTCCGTGTCTCCAGGGCYCCAGTGAAACCCTTGCTACCAGCCATCCTTCACACTTTTCATCCTGAAGGGTAATCCAGTTTGTCCTTTCCAGAGTTAAACACCACAGGCCAATTGAGACACATCTAAGGTTTACAGAATAACTAGTGCTAGTTCAGCTTCCATTTAACAGAAGAGGAAAATGAGRCCCAGAAAGGAGATTGAACGGGCCCAAAGTCCCACAAGCAGTTAGTGGCAAGTCATGATTAGAATCCAGTTTATGCCAGGCCCCCACGCTGGAACATGCCTGAAATCCTGTGATCCAGGAGGCTGAGGTAGGAGGATTGCAAGTTCCAGGTGAGCCTGGGCAACTCAGAGAGACCTTGTCTCAATTAAAAAAAAAAAAAAATGCAGAGGGTGTATGCGTGTGAAGGGGAGGACTGGTGACATAGCTCAGAGGTAGAGTGCCCTGAGGTTAATCCCCAGTACTGGGGGTGAGGGCATGGGGGAGTCCATGCATGGCCATTCAACCCACACCATCTGACTGGGGATTAAAAAAAAAGGCTGGGGTGGCATGAAGGACACAATGTCCTCTTCTGGGCCCCTCTCAGGCCTGCTTCCTTCTGAGGGTTGTGAGAAAAGATATGCTTCAGCTCTGGGGGCACCAAATCGAGCAGGTCTGTGTCCTCAGCCCAGCCAGGGACATCTGGGGCCAAGGTCTCTTGAGGAGGGGTTAGACCACACGGTGTGCACGTGTTCGGCCTGAACCCCTTTCCCTGGGGAGAGATGTTAAGAAGAGAACAGTTTCCTTCAGGAAGACATCGGCCTCAGCTAGAGACAGAGAGAGAAGACACAGGGCCCATGCTCAAGAGTGACCAGCAGGTAGTCAGCAGGGGCATCTCATGGAGGGCCTCCCAGCTCTTTGCGACCTCTGTTTCCTCTGCCAGGGCATGCGGATTTCCTGGCATGAGCACTGCATAAAAATGAAGCTGCCAAGTGTCAAAGAGTTGCAAAGAGTGGTTGGACCCACAGTCTTGAGACTGGAAGGAAGAAGCCACCTGCCTGGCTCCATAATCCCTGTGCACAATGAGAATACTGGGGAGAAGGAAGGCCATGAGAGGCAGGAGAGGGCAGGCGGGGCAGGGGGAAGGACTATGGTTAAGGGCCTGTGTTTACTAGAGGATTAGAGAGAATGTGGCCAAAGGGCAGAGTTTCAAGGAGCCAGGGGGATGAGACAGAGATCTCAGCAAATATTTTCTAAATATCTCTTATATGCTGAATAATAGCTAGGTCTTTGAGCACAAAATATGAATAAAACCCAGTCCCTACCCTCCAGGAGCTTGTGGTCGAACAAAGGAGGGAAATGAATAGGAGACTTGTGTCAGTTAGCTATCCATCACTATAACAAATACCCGAGATAATCAACTTATAAAGAAAAAAGGTTTATTTTTTGGCTTGTGGTTTTGGAGGTTCCAACCCATGCTCTGACTATAGAGGGAAGGAGGTGCTGGGGCCTGAAGACCCTGCTACATGCACCRTGGCTAAGGAGCCAGGACCCTGCCCCCCAAAACATGGGGCACCATGGAGCATTTCAGAGGAAAGAGATATCACCAGGTCTGTGGTGCAGGACAACCTTCCTGCAGCTGAGTGGAGGACTCATGATGGAGGAAAATGTGACGGTGGAAACCCCAGTTTAGAGGCTGGTCCTGGTGAAATGGTGCAGGCGTGGACCAGAGCAGCAGCAGCAGGGAGAAAGGAGGCAACTGATTTGAGAGAGATTGGGGAGACAGAGCCTCAGAACTCTGTGCCTGTTTGATTCTAGAAGATACGGGAGTGAAGACAGGCAAGGTTGGAAGCACCAAAGTGCAGGTGGGGCTTTGGAGCACTTGAGGTGTGCCTTTATTCATCGCACTCTCTTGTATTGCTGTGTCATCTTGGACCAGTGACTTAACCTTTCTGAGTCGACATTTCARTCTGCAGGGCAAAGATACTAAAATCAGTTTTGTGTAGTTGTTCATGGTAGAGACAATGTATGCTTAGGGCCTAGCATAGGGCTTGGCTCATATAGGAACGCGATAAATAACAGATATGGTTACCATCATTTGTTCTTTCAACAAACACTTATGGAACTCCTGCCATGTGCCAAGGACTATATTGATCTTTGGGCTACAGGGATGATTGTGTGTGTGTGTGTGTGTGTGTGTGTGTGTGTGTTGCTGAAGATTAAACCCAGGGCCTTGTGCATGCAAGGCAAGCACTCTACCAAGTGAGCTATATCCCCAACCCCTAGAGGGATGATTTTGAATTTCAGTTCCTGCTTTCAAGAAGCTGTCTACTGGAAGAAAGATGCACAGAGGACTGTCATATTGGCAAGGATGGAGGAGAAGGCCCCAGTCAATCAGGAACAAATTCACAGGGAGCAGTCACAGCCTAAACACTGCAGAGCCAGCCATCAGCTCAGAGACTGTCACGCTACCTACCCATCCCCAGTTCCCCATCCCTGACACGGAACTGCATTTCAGTATCTCTGAGGTTGGCAGTTCTGAAGGCATTGTCTTGCTTCTTGGGATTGCAGGAAGGGTTAAGCTGCAGGTGGGTATCTCCATGGAGCCCAGAGGATGGGAYGCAGAGATTTGGCAGCCACAGAAATAGGCATGAGCAGCCAGGAGCAGAGGTGCACGCCTGTAATCCCATCAGCTCAGGAGGAGGCTGAGGCAGGAGGATCTCGAGTTCAAACCAGCCTCAGCAAAAGCAAGGCACTAAGCAACTTGTTGAGACCCCGTCTCTAAATAAAATACAAAATAGGGCTGGGGCTGTGACTTAGTTTTTGAGGGCCCCTGAGTTCAATCCCCCATACCCCTCCAAAACAAAAACAAAAACAAAAAAAAAGAAAGAAAGAAAGAAAAAAGAAAAGGGCGGATGCTCAGGGATAAATGGAGAGCCGCATAAGAGTGACGTCATGCACGTGGGTGGGCTTATGGCTGGATGGCGAGAGGTCCCTGTGTATGTGCTATCTGGGCTGCCTTCACTTTTCTGCTTCCTGTCTATGCCCTTCCAAAAATTCTCCCCAAACTTTTCAGGGYCCCCGGCCCTCCTCCCGTGCCAATTTACTTTCCATATGTCTCTCGAAAGCCCAGGTTTACAGAAGCCACATCACCTTGGGCCTCCCACTAAGGAGGAACGTCCACCCTGCTGCCCACGGAGCAAGCCCTATGGGGCTTTAAGGCCACATAGACGGTGTGACCTTGGGCAGGTCCACCTCTGACTTATTTCCTGACTGTAACTCAGCCCCTCTCCCCTGGGGCTGCTGTGAGATTCCAATGGGATGGGAACTTGGCACCCAGTCAATGCTGTTTTCCTTCTCGCAGCCCATTAACTCCTCCTTGCAGAGGGTCAGGCAAGAGCCTGGTAGCTGGGATTCCCACCTCCACCCTACTCCCGGGGTCCCCTGGCTCCTGGAGTCCCTCCCCTGTGGGCCCTGCAGCTCCCTTTCCCTCTGCCAGCCTTTGGTGTCTGTAGCATCCCTGGGAGGTCCTGGTGGCCCTAGCAGTTCAGCAGGGATGCTGGCGGGCCTCAGAGCTTGACAGTGGGGGGGGGGGGCAGCAGCAGCCCAGCCCACTCCMGGCTCCCATCCTGGCTGTCCTCCTTGCTGCCAGGGACATGCCACCACTCAGCAGCTAGGACGGTCTCTCTGGGTGCCTGAGGGCTGAGTGGGGAAGCTGGAAACAGCTCTCCCCTACAGACTGTGTGGGCAGCACATTTGAATAGCTTCTGGAAACCCAAAGTTCAAGTCCGCCCCGTTCCTCCATCCCAGCCACAGCTTCCAGACGGGGAGAATCTCCTTCCCACCCACAGCCTCTCCTCCCCTCTGGCCCTACCCACACCCAAGCAGGCACAGGTTCCGAAAGCACCGCAGGCCCTTGGGAGGCTGGAGACCTGATTCTGCCCCTGARGTACAGGAGGTGCTCTGTTTATCTGGGCCTCCGTGTTCCTCTTCAGCAAAATGGGAAGAGGGTGAATGTCCACCTCTTGGGAGGTGAGCATTGAAAGGGCCTGGAGATGACAGTGCTTTGTGAACTGTCAAGCCATCTGCATGTGTAGGAGGTCACTCGTGTTTGGCTTACGGCCCTCCTCAGTCAAGTGAAGACATGCAAAATGGGAAGCCAAGCAAGGATAGAGAAGCTCACCGCCAGAGCATGTCCGTCCTTGGCAGGGAGGAGAG